AATTGAGGTTTGATTTCTTGAATGACATGAATCCTGATCAAATTCCTGTTATTTCTGCTTTGACCTAGAAAGAGAATATCTGCCTAGGTTGATAGAGCACCCTTGATTGAAGGAAGTTAATTGACGACTTTGGTCAAGGAGTCAATTCACTATTCTGTACCGGATTTACTTCGGTAGAGGAGGTTTGGTTCGTTAGGATCTCAATCTGTTTACTCCGGTGGAGGTTAGTCACCCGTTGGGGACTCAGATTGAGAGGGTCTGCAGAACTTTAGTCGAGACTGCAGACTTTTTAAGAACCTCCCGCAGTATAACTATCATTGTACTTGAACTTGGTAAATTACAACCTGGCTTAACTGCAGTCTAGGGGGAACCATATCCGGGTGACCTCTCTCAACTTGAACACAACTTTCACTGCTTTGCTTGCTAGTTTAATTGAACCTTCACTACACTTGAACCGCTAGATAACAAGACTTTCACGGAGTAGTCATCACACCTAGGACCCGGGTCGACAATTAGAACTAAACCCGCTATACTACGCATTAGTAGGTGGTTACACTTGGCCACTTTCTAGTGTGACGGTAGAAGCGTGTCATCCTGAGACAGGGGAACCTCGATGTTAAAATTCTTCTCGTCTTCGAGCTCCTATTTAGTCAAGAAGGTGCCCCCTACTCTCAAAGAAGGAGTCTCGATATGCCTTCATGAAGAAGAATCCATTGAACCAACTCCTCCCTAGCTTGGGGCACCTAACCACGAAGTGGTAGGGAAGCTTCGTGCGCTTTTGCCGAGATAAGCAATTGTCGAGGGACACCATGTTAAAGAAATATATGAACAAGCTAAATATGGGCCTCATGTTGTGCACCCGGCACTTGAACTTGAACAAAATCACCACCAGAATAACGGATGGTATAGGCGCCCCAAGCTGCAACCACAGACAGCCAAAATCCCCTCCTAAATGGGGTAGATTGGGAACCGTAAACCAAAGCAAAAATACTCCTTTTAAACCCCGATCCACTTCGGACTGCACACTCCGACTCTAGAAATCAGGGGAGCGGGCGCATACCACCGATCGCGCGACAGTTGCAGACCTGTAACTAACTCCCTCACTCGCACAGGCGTCATGGTAGATTGGTGGTCTGGCCCTGCCACATTAAACGTCATCTAGGAGGTGTCGAGCGGCACGTAATCTGGAGGAAAAGTTTTTTCCCAAGTAGTGACTTTGTAAGAGCCGTCCGCTGGCATCTAACCCGGAGCGGACGCCGTCGAAGTTCCAGCAGATGGAGACGCCCTCTCTAAAAGCAAAAAGTGAAGCAGGCGTACAACCGCAACACGAAGTGAGCGGGGCCCTTGCCTCAAAGAAACAACCAAGCATGCGAAATAAAATGATAAAATCGAGGAATGGAGGGGGCGCTTACCACGGTTTGACGGGGCGCCTCGATCAGGAGCAGCGCCCTGGCCAGCAGGTTGGTTTGGCGAGTGACACTCCAAAACACAACACCAATCTGCGATCAAGTGTAATCGCAGACCGGGAATGCAGTAAAGTGGCAAGTTATATTATCAACCCGGGGTCTAGATCTACTGCTTACTCAGTGATTATCTATTATCTAGCCAACTAAGTCAAGTGATTGTTGTTTAAAGCAAAAGCAGAAAGAAAGCAGGAATTGGTACGGTTTTCTCAAGCAAAGAAGAGTCACTCGGGAATGATTCCCCCTAGCTCCTTAGTTAGGTTTCAATTGTAATTTCCCTGGGTTGATTTACTGTTGATTAGACTGCGGAAGATCCGACAGTAGCTTGGAATCTCTTAAGCTGACCAAGCCCTCTCAGACTAACTACCCGGCAGACGACTAGTCTTCACCGGGATAGAAAGCTGAAGCAGTAAGAACAGAACTCCACTACTGGAATTGAATTCCAGTACAAAGCAGTAAACTGGCTAACTCTCGTATAGCCAATCTCCTAATACCGAATGATGAGGCTCTAACAACCTAATCAGATTCTATCTATCTCAGGTTGCAGCAGAAATCAGGAAAAGCTGATCAGACTTCAATTGACTCAATAAACATGCATCATTCGATTAAAATCAAGTAGTAATATCATCCCAAGTCATTACAATCAAATCCCTAACACATAGAACTAGGGTTCTTCATACCCAAGTGAGAGAAGGGTTCTACTCCATAGAGAGAGAGAGAGGAAAACAGAATACAGAGTAGTCATACTCATAAAGATGAGGAAAATATGCTCTGGGATGATGATTTCCACTCCTATGATGATCTCCAAGCTTGATTTGATGAAACCCAGCTCCAAGATAGCTTCTAGGATGTGTTCTTCGTACTTTCTCTCTCTAGGGCTCTGTTTTTGCTCTCAAAACTCGATTCTCCCACTTTCAGCCCGAAATTGGGTAAAAACCCAGAAATTCCTGACTCACACGGGCAGGCCCACACGGTCGTGTGGCTTTCCCAGCTGCCCGTGTGAAGGCTCGGTGATTTCCACACGGCCACATGGCCAGTTCACACGGCCGTGTGGGTCGTGCCCGTGTGGCTTGCTCAGCCTCTGTTTAATGCTTCGTTTCAACCTCGTCCAGACTCCGAATCAGTTGCCGTTTGATCCCAGACGCTCGTAGTCTTGTCCTCTTTCTTTTCATGACAAAATTACATGATTATTTGTCCATAATATGCGGTAGAAGTCCATTATTCCTCAGGTCATGCTCGTGTTTCTTCTCCCGAATTGCCAAATGATCTCCGATTGGCTTGAAACTTGCGCCTATGCTTTAATTCACATGCTAGAACCTGAAATGTGACAAAGGAACACAACCTAGCGTAAAATAGTCCAAGAAAGCAGAAACTCAAGCCAAAATGATCAAGAAACGAGGGTGCAAACATGTGCAAATCCGATGTTATCAGCGAGGCATACATGGTGAGGAAGATGTGAGCGATGAGGGATTTGCAGGCGGAAGGCAAGGCGACGGCTAGAGAGAAGTTAGAGAGAGAGAGAGAGAGCGCGTGTTTTGAAGAGGTGGGAGACAAAATGAAGGAAGGAGAAATATTTATGGGAGGGAAGGGAGACACGCATCGGGATCCGCGCCTATTAGCCACGTGTCACGATCTTGGGCGGTTATTTGAATTTCAAATTCAAAATTTGAATTAAAAAAAAAAAAATTAAAATAAACCACCCGAGAGAAGGGCAAGGGGAACGTGCTAACTAGGTGCCTGTGTCAGGAGAATAAATTCAGCAATCATCAAAGGTTAGCACACCAACCCGAACCGAGGCACCTATAAAAAAGAAAGGGGAGAATTTCGCACAAGGGTCAAAATAAGTTGTTTTCAGAAGGGAGCGCACAAGCCAGGTGCCTATGTTAACAAGGGGGAAAATTAATTGTCAGGTAAAGCACGCTAACTAGGCGCCCGTGTCAAGAAAACAAAAGTAGCAGTTGACAAATAGAGCACGATATCCAAGTGCATGTGTACGGAAAATCGTTAGTAGATAGACGCCTCGTCTCGACAAACCTAGGCGCCTGTAGCGAGGAAAAGGGGGGCATTCCCCACGAAGAACTTAGGAGAAGACTGAAGATCATCAGGCGCCCAATTCAGCGGTGAGGCGAGCCGGTATGCGATGAGCGAAAAGAACACGATGACAGGCACCCAACACAACAAAAAAGAGCAAGAGGTGTGGGACGCCTGCAGCCCAACAGCGCTAAGGCGTCGGGAAAAGGGGAGCGTATGTACGGGGCACCCACCGGTCGATAGTGGGCGGACTTTTGAGTGGGTAAACAAAGATTGGGGCACCTCTGAGGTGTACATCGAGATGATAAAAGGGAGACTCGCGAGCATAGTCAGGCCCTCATGTTTTGGAGACTTGAGAGCCTAACTGGGGGGCAATTGTTGTGGGGAATTAAGAAGATAGGGCCAAGGAAGAGGTCCAATGAGGAAAAAAAGGATGCTTCGTGGGCCTAGTCCACGGGTTGGTTCGCGAGGCCAGGCCTAGGGGTAAATATGGGAAACTAGGAGACAAGGTTCGGAAGGTTCCAAGAGAGTACGGTCTGGGTGCCTTGTACCTGTCAGAGGCCTGACAGGTTGGTCGAGGCGCCCATCCTGATAGAGGTACAGAGTATTAAATGCCATGCTGACGTGGAACTGGGTTGATGAAGCTTGGTTTAGGGTTGGGTGAGTATAAATAGTGTCGGTAGGTGGCATTTACTCCAGGTTGGATTCTTTCACTAAACACTTGAGCTGTCCACTTCTCTCTCTAAAACCCAAACTGACTTGATCGTCCGAGGACTAACGGGCCCAGGCACCCTCCTCCGTGTGCATGTGTGCAGGTTAGGTGCCTTGGACACGTAGAGCGGGGATAAAGTAGGCGAGGAGTGGGCTCCAAAGTATCCGGGCACAAACAATATATTATGCTATTATTTTATATCTTAGTGGCTAAAATATAATATATCTTAAGGTTATTAAATGGTTCGACCTTCACCAACTAGATTAGTTTTATAATTTCAAATATATATTATGTAATTATTTGATATCCTAATGATTAAATTATAGTGTATTTTATAGACGATTTTTTATTCGGTTTTCTGGAATTCGGTTTCTATCAAACTTACTCCACCTCATCATATTACGAGAAATAATAATTTTCACAAGGTAACAGAACTTGGTTTATAAGGCTGATTTTTGATTCGTTGCATCATCCAATACTTTTTTCGTGCTAAAATTCACTATCTTTATCACGTGTTTCCAAAAAAACTATACAACAAAAAGCTACACCCTATTACATTCTAAAATTTCATAACTCGTCTTGCTCCGCCCAACTGTTCGGGGCCACGCTAGTTTTTTAAGAGGTTCAACAAGGGTTAGCAATACACAAGTCATGCAGCATGGTCGACCATCACAGACGCTTGTACATGCATCTTGACGACGAAGCTAGTTACCATCATAACATTTCATAGACTCAAATATAAGCTAAGCTAAGGATGCTTTACCGGAGAGGGGAAACATAACAGGCAAACAAATTTATTTCTTTAAAATATTAAACTTCAGAGCACTGAATGAAGACATGCATGTTGATTCATAAGTGAAATTGCATATGCAACCAAGTATACCTGAGATCAGAATTGAAATAATCGTTATACTTGATAAATGAAAAAAAAATGAACAAGTATCTTTACCCTGAATTAAGAGGGTACACTAGAACAGGAATTCCTCAAGCATACATTAACAATGTTTTGAAACTCATTCACGAGCATCACTAACCTTTACATGCTCCATTTGAGCAACCTCCACATAAAATGTTCACCTGAAACCACAAAACTGAAAATGAAACTGCAGGCTAGATAGGCACAAGTTTGGGACATAAGGCTTATATGGAAGTGAAATCATCCACGATTTGAATAAAAAGTACTTCTCCTTGAGATTATAGTCACAAGATCCCCCTACTTTGTTGTTCTAGCATATTTGGATGTCAGGGCAGAGAGCTGTAAACAGTTTTACACATTTTACCTGAGCAGTGCGTCCAAGTTTGTCGTAACTATTCTCGCCGTTCACTAGGTCACTGTTGTAAAAATCCTGGACATAGATATACGTACATGGTATACATAACTAAAATAAGAAACTTATTAATGTTAAATAAGAACAGCAGTAGCCTTAGAATGGGCAGCTGTCACCACTAGAAGGATCGATTGTCTCGGCAATGGGGAATTTAGGGAAGAAGAAGAAGATTACAGAAGAAGAATCAGAGAAGAGAAGAGGGATTCAGGAAGAGAGAGATAGAGAGAGAGAAGAGAGGGAAAGGTAAAGTTGTTATTAGCTGAAAAAGTGGTTACAACGGCTCACGCGGGTTCTCTTTTATACAGAGTGGCAAATGTCTATTCTAGTCACTCAACTTCTATTCCTAGCTCAATACATCCGTCGGTTACAACTCCCCATTCCTTCAGCAAAAGCTTGTCCTCAAGCTTGGAAATCTGGAAAACGCTGCTGGAAATCAGTCAGAAATTCCCACGTAGCATCCTCCTCGCCTTGATGAGACCACTGCACGAGGACCTGTGTTGCTGGCTTGTTATCTTTGGCGACCATCTTCCTGGCCAAAATGGCAACAGGAGCTAACTTGAGGGCTCCTTGATCGTCGACTGCAGGTAAGAATGGCTGCACTGACACCTGGGAATTCACTCGGTCCTTCTTGAGCAACGAGACATGAAACACTGGGTGGATAGCTGAGTCTGCTGGCAGTTGCAATCTGTAGGCTACAGCGCCAATTTTCTTGATGGTAGGGAATGGATCAAAGAATCTAGGAGCAAGCTTCTGGTTTGCTCGACTGGCTACTGAAGTTTGGCAATAAGGACGAAGTTTGAGGTAAACTAAATCACCCTCCTGCAAAACTCTTTCAGTCCTGTGGGCATCAGCCATCTGCTTCTGTTTGTTCTGTGCTTTAGCCAGGTTGCTGCGTAGGATATCAATCAGTCTGTGCTGTTGTTGCAACCTGTCTGCTACTGCTGCTATTGAAGTAGATAGAGGATTCTGGATGGCAAACTGAGCTAGGGAATAGCCATAAAGAGCCTCGAATGGGGAAGCCTGCAAGCTTCTATGGAAATTGGTGTTATACCAACATTCTGCAAGAGTCAACCACGAAGCCCACTGCTGAGGACACAAATGAACCATGCCTTTGAGATATTCCTCCAAGCACCTGTTAAGCTTCTTAGTCTGACCATCTGTCTGTGGATGGTAGGCAATAGAATAGTGTAGTTTAACCCCTTGTAATTCAAAGAGTTTGGTCTAGAATGAACTTGTGAAAATGGCATCTCTGTCTGAAACAATTGTCATAGGCATACCATGTAATCTGAACACACCATCAAAGAATGTTTAAGCCACTGTCACTGCTGAGTATGGTTTTGATAGCCCAAAGAAATGTCCATAGTTTGAAAAACGATCCACCACAACTAACACTGCCTCCTTTCCACGAGCACTTGACAATCCCTCCACAAAATCCATAGAAATGGGTTTCCAGGCCTGATCTGGAATGGGAAGTGGCTGTAACAAGCCAGGATAGGGAATGTTCTCCACCTTGCATTTCTGACAAACATCACATAACAAAATATAATTATTCAAATCAGACTTGATGCCAGGCCACCAAAAATACCTTTTAATCCTCTGATAACTAGCTTGCACCCCAGAATGACCACCCACTGGTGAGTCATGAAACAATCCAAGTAATTGCTGCCTCATAGAACCTGTTGAACCTACATAGATGGCAGATTTATGATAGAGTATCCCTTGATGAATCCAGAAGAGCTTGGGACCAATCACTGGAACTGAAGCCTCAACCATGACTTGGTGAACTTCTTGATCCCCTGGGTAAGTGGATTCCAGTTCAGACAGCCAAGAAGGCAATACAGCAGAGATAGGACAACACTCACCCAATTTGGCCATAAGAGTAGCAAAATCAGGATGTCTGGACAGGGCATCAGCCACTTGATTGAACTTGCCTTGTCTGTATTGGATTTCAAAATCCAATCCCAAGAGTTTAACCAGCCCCTTCTTTTGTATCTGAGTGTGAATCTTCTGCCCCAATAAATGCTTGAGGCTCTCATGGTCAGTCACAATTTTAAATGGCATGCCTTCCAGATTGGGGCGCCACTTAGTGACTGCTAAGATTACAGCTAGGTATTCCTTTTCATAGGTAGAAAGCCCTTGTTTCCTTGGCCCTAAAGCCTGACTGTGATAAGCTAAGGGTCTGCCTCCCTGAGATAGTACAACACCAATGCCAAATTCACTTGCATCCGTTTCCAAAACAAAAGGTTGAGAGAAATCTGGAAGAGCCAAGACTGGAGTAGTAACCATTGCTGTTTTGAGAGCTGTGAAAGCCTCTTGTGCCACCTCTGACCACTTGAAACAATCCTTCTTCAACAAATCAGTGAGAGCTTTGCCTATTACCCCATAATTTCTGATAAACTTCCTCTAGTAACCAGTCAATCCAAGGAAGCCACGCAATTCCTTCACTGTTTTTGGAACAGGCCAGTTCACCATGGCTTCTATCTTGGTAGGATCAGTGGTCACCCCTTCTTGGTTGATGATGTAACCCAGGTAATCAATCTGGGTTTGGCCAAATGTACACTTAGAAGGTTTTGCATACAAGGAATTTTCCCTAAGAATAGGCAAAGCAGCAGCCAGATGCTCCTTGTGGCTGTCCTGGTCAGGACTATAGATCAAAATGTCATCAAAGAACACTAAGATGAACTTCCTGAGGTGAGGGCTAAAAATTTTATTCATGAGTGCTTGGAAAGTTGCAGGGGCATTTGTAAGACCAAATGGCATCAAAGTGAACTCATATAACCCTTGGTGTGTTCTGAATGCTGTTTTGTGTTGATCAGAAGGGTTCATTCTGATTTGATGGTAACCAGATAGCAAATCCAACTTAGTAAAATACTTTGACCCTCTAAGTTCATCCAACAAATCATCAATCACAGGGATAGGAAACTTATCTTTGATAGTGAGGTCATTAAGCTTCCTGTAATCCACACAAAAAAGCCAGGAACCATCTTTCTTAAGCACCAGTAGCACAGGTGAAACATAGGGACTCTTGGAATGTTGAATGTACTGAGACTCCAACATCTCCTTTACCAATCTATCCATCTCATCCTTCTGTGGAATCGAATATCTATAAGGCCTGAGGTTGACTGGTTGAGAGTTTGGTTGTAGGGGAATCGTATGGTCACAGTCCCTTGCAGGTGGAAGGCCCTGAGGCTTCCCAAATACATCACTGAAGTCCTTCAAAACTGGCTCCAAGAAAGCAGGTGGTTGATCCTTCCACATACTCATGTTAGTCAGACTAGCCATCTGGTCCACAGCTTGCAAACTGCAAATCTGTCCCATGAAAACAATCTCAGACTTGTCCCACAACTTCTGCAAGCTCTTTCCTGATATTAGCTTACATTGTGCTATGTCATTAATGCCTGATAACTCCACTTCCTTACCCTGCCAGTCAAAGAACAGTTTTAAGCCAATGAAATCAAACTTAACCGGACTAATAGTCTTCAGCCAGTCCAATCCCAACACAGCATCGTTTGATCCTAAACTCAGGATCCTCATATCATACTGGAACGTGTGTCCTTGCATTTCCCAATAGAATCCTTTACAAACCAGGTGACTGAGTAGGATAGTTCCATCTGCCAACTTCACTCTTAACGGATTGCTTGCTGGGACCAATTGACACTGCAATTCCTTTGCTTTCCTGTCACTAAGGAAAGTGTGGGTACTCCCTGTGTCCATTAGAATGTAGATTTTATCACTCTTTACCTTGCCTTGGACGATAAGTGAATTAGCCATGCCCCCACTGTTCAAAGCCTGCATTGTTACCTCCTCTAACTCAGGTTGATCCTCCATCACAGCAGGGTCGACCAATTCTTCCTCATCTGGATTGTGCCATGAATCAGCAATGTCATCCTCGCTTTCAGCTTGCAAGCTATTGAGCTGCTTCTTTGCAACACAAACATGACCAAAGAAATAACGATCCCCACACTTATAGCAAACACCCCTTGTTCCATTGTTCTTCTGGTTTAACATAGGAGACAATATACCACCCACCGGTTTTGCAGGAGCAGCATTATCCCAACGGCGAGGTTGTGTGGAATTGGTGCTAGTGGTAGCCACCATGGGACGAGTAGACATCCCCTGATTGCTACGCCACTTCTTCTGGCGAGCCAAGTTTGACGCTTCCTCCAATTGTGCAAACCGAAATGAATCCGCGAGGGTCTGAGGTTTCCACATGTGTAGAACAGGATGCAGTTCTTCTTCGAGGCCACTAATAAAACTACTGATGAAGTAGATCTCATCTAGAGCAGGGTTGAAACGCGCCATTAGAGATCGAAGTTCCTCGAATTTTTCCTGATACTCAGCCAAGGAACCACGTTGACGAAGCTTATTGAACTCCGCCGCCACTCCACCATACGTTATATTCCCAAATCTCTGGCACAATGCTGCCACAAACTCCTCCCAAATCAACTCCTGTCGACCAATTTTCCATCCTTCAAACCATAGATCCGCTCGTCGTTGGAAATAGATCACCGCCAAATTAACCTTCTGATCATGAGGAATACCATAAATGTCGAACAATTTCTTGCATTTCCGCGTCCATTCACGAGGATCATCACCATTAAAGGGCGGAAAGTCAAGTCGGGGAAGCTGATGAAACTGATTGTGGTTACCTGGCCCGTGAACTGGAAATTGATCTCGCTCTGCTACTTGATTGATTGGAACGTGAGCCCTGGGCGCCTGCACCAAATCAGGTTCAGCTCCTCTGAAACCTTGATTAGGTAAAGGAAGAATGCCCCGAGCATTTCTGTCAATCGGTGGCACCACCGCTCCGGCAACGACGCCCGCCGGCCGAGGAGGAACCACCACTTGCAGCATATTACGAATCTCTTGTGTGAATTGACCAAAGAGATCATCGATCCGCGCCTCCATGTCAGCTAACCGAGTTGTAGAACTCGTCTCCAGCTCTGCGAAACGCGTCGCGGAGTTTGCCTCCATCGAGTCCAAATGAGTCGTCAAGGTGACGAATTGCTGGGAATGACCTTCGGAACGAGTCCTGATTTCTTGAAATTGAGCCGCCTGAGAAGACATCAAGCTCTGAACGTTGGTGATTCTGTCATCGAGATCTCCTTGCGCCTAATTCGTGGACGCCAGTAAAGCAGTGAGGCGCTCGTCGATTGTTCCTCTGGTGTTCGTCATTGAAGTAGTTGCCAAGACAGTGCTCTGATACCACCTTGTCACCACTAGAAGGATCGATTGTCTCGGCAATGGGGAATTTAGGGAAGAAGAAGAAGATTACAGAAGAAGAATCAGAGAAGAGAAGAGGGATTCAGGAAGAGAGAGATAGAGAGACAGAAGAGAGGGAAAGGTAAAGTTGTTATTAGTTGAAAAGTGGTTACAACGGCTCTCGCGGATTCTCTTTTATACAGAGTGGCAAATGTCTATTCTAGTCACTCAACTTCTATTCCTAGCTCAATACATCCGTCGGTTACAGCAGTTTCTTTCAAAATCAAAAGTGCAGGGAAAACTATGACAGCCAGAAGATGAATTACACTTCCAAATTCACATAATTTTTTTTAAAACAACGATATTGCTTACTTGAACAAAATCCACTTGTCCTGAACCAGTGTGGAAGGATTTGGGGCTATTGAACCGACCAAAGTCAATATATCCCTGAACAACATGGAAGATTACTTAACTTGGACGATAATAAAGAACATCAGAAAAGCTAGGGCATGAGGAGATTGTGCCCTATCAAAAGGCTCTCAAACAGGATGACATGTTTACCGTTTGTGATCTAGTCTCCACATCTTTGCAAAAACGAACTACCAAGTCAGTATACTCTTGCATCGTTAAAACCACACAATATATCATCATCTGGGGAAACATTCACCTGCACCAGGATCTTTCATATGACTGGTCACTCCCGACATTCAAAAATTAAGCAGACGGCATTACCTTTGCCTCATGGACGAATGTGTGTCCAATCAAGCAAGCTTCTCTGATCAATGAATTAAGGAGGAACTGTTATAAACCGAACAGAAAAATTAGGGTTACCAATCTACTGAGTCGCGGACTAGGTCGATCTCTTTAAGACGTTCGCGGTACTGCCTCGTTATTCGCACAACAGACTATCAGCCGGTCGCCTCCCGGATAAAACATCCAATATTTTGATTTGCTCAACGGTTTTGTGAGAAAAACCGGAGCTCTTTGAATCTCACTCTCTTTCTCGTGTTTCTGCTCTCTGAGGTGTGTTTAGAGGGGCTGGGGAGACGGCGATTTGTAGGAGCCGAACCCCTAGGAATATACCCTCTAACTTGGGGAATAAGTCGGATTAATTAAGGAAGATAATTATTTCCTTAATTAAAACCCATCTGTAAGATAATCCCTGCGGGATTATCCTCCGAATATTCCTTTTAATCAATTATCCTCCGAATATTCCTTTTAATCGATTATCCTTCGAATATTCTTTAAAATAACAGATTAATAATTAATTATTAGATAATTAATTTCGTTCGAAATTTCTCCAAAAAATATATAGTCTCAACCAACCAACCAACCGGTCGGACGGCGCGCGCGCGTGTGGTGGTCCGTTAGGTTCTTCCTCTCCCACAAAAGTGGGTCACCCCAAGGGGCATCCTATCTTTATACACATTTCACCAAGTAAAACTACCAATGTTGTAGTTTTTCCAATTGAGACTCTATAGCTCTCAAAGCTATTCCTTCATTTCCAACAATCCCCCACTTGAATAGTTTTGAAACTATCTCTGAGCATCAACAGTTCCATAAAATCGGGCATAAGCTAAGGTATCACGAAGATTTGAACCTTAGCGTAGTGGTTACACTTCCGATTTCATAAGGGTGACTCGTAGTCTTGAACCCTATCTCAGACAATGTAGCACACAAGATCTTTTCATTGAGTGATATTCTCTCATAGGTCGTGCCTTTATGGAGATGCACGTTATCCCGGTTTAGTGAACGCTCTAGCAACTTTGTGCCTCCAAAGGTCCATAGGCAACGGCCCCACTCCCACATTCACATAGGTGAGTCTATCAGGAGTACCCCCCCCAAAGTAAAGTACTCCACCCCACATAGGGTATAGATCTCATTAAGAGTTATTAACACAACCTCCATTGCTTTGGGATTCATGCTTCACTATGCATGAACTTTTCGCATACTACTATGACTTGTTATTACCCATTGAACTCATTTCTTGGAATCTCCAGTCTATTCGATCGGGTTACCATCACTTGTAGTCCGTGGTTCGGTAGGCATAAGTCCCATACCCTTGGCGGTATTTTGGACTTTCTCTCTAGATAATCCTTTCGTCAAAGGATCAGCTAGGTTCTGTTAGGACCTTACATGATCCACCCTCATTGCTCCTATCGTTAGGAGTTCTCTTACAGTACTGTGCTTACGACGAATTTGTCGTCTCTTTTCGTTCTAGAACCGGTTCCCTTCTTTTGCAATAGATGCGGTGCTATCACAATGAATCAACTACCAAGGGATCGGTCTTTCCCATAAGGGAATCTCTAGTAATGACCCTCTCAATCAACTTCCTCTTTACTAGCCATTGGCAGCTCTATCATTTCTGATTTCTTAGTTGATTGAGCTAGGATCGTTTACTTCTTAGAATTCCAAGACACAACACTTCCATTGATGTTTAAAACATGTCCACTGGATGCCTTGGAATCTTCTATAGGGTATTCTCGTCCACATCAATATACCCTACCAATACAGCCAGAAACTGTTGATAACTTATATAAAGTTCTACTGTTCTTAAGGTGTCTCATGACCTCTTTCAATAGCATTTCAATGCTTCATACTAGGACAATCAATAAGTCTGCCAAGTACCCCTCACTAAATCGGGTCTCATGTTTATCATTTACCTCTCGCAGACTGTAAATGCTAGTATATTCTAACTTTCTTACACCGTCTTAGGTGTTCTTTAAATATTTATACTAGCATCATCAAACATGTATGCAGGTGTACATCTTGTATTTTCCTAGTTATTAGGATTTCTAAGCATAACATTTGTTTCATTAAAATCCTTCACATTCAAAATTCTCAACCATCATGGTTTTTCAATATTGACATCACGAGTCTTTGTACCAAAGATCAACGTGTCATTCATAATGCAAGTGTCATTAAAAAATTTGTACTAAATGCACTTGTCACTTTCACTTTTAAAACCATGAGAGAGAATCTGATCATTCATGACACTAATTCTGAGTTTATTTCAAATCATATAATGATTTGTCTAACCATAGACTCCAGAATCATGTTCTAGAATAACAACCTTTAAGATTGTCCCAGTGTAGATTTCTTTATTCAAATCACCATTCAAAAAAGTATTTTAACATCCATGTGATGGATGTTATTCTACGTATTGATGAATAGATATCAAAGAAATCTACAATTTTTCCTCTTCGCCTAAAGCCTTAGCTACTAGGTGATCATTATACTCATAAACTAAACCATCAGGTTTCAGTTTTCCTTTTAGGAATCCATTTATTACCTTGGCTTCATTGCCAGGAGGTAATTCTCAAAGATGCCAAATCTTGTTCGGTTCCACCGATATATTAATCAAGGATTTATAACCAAGAGGCAACTCTACAAGATTCTAAGTCTTACTAGACTCCACAAATTCCATTTCGTTAATAATGGATTATCCCACGAATCTGCATATTTACGGAAGTTCAAACAGACTTGTGGGATCTTTCTTAGGGTGTAATAACAAATTCATAACCAAAATCCTTTAGTGATTTATGGTTCATTTGTCTCTTGTGAATTTATACTCAAATTCATCACCCCCACTAGATCCATTATTTCTACTAGTTGGCAGGACACTACCCCCACTATTTCTTGATTTAATATGGAAGTTTATTGTCATCAATGGATTTCACAACAACATGAGTATTTCGTTTCATAGACTATGTGTTTTTATTGTTGACAACATAAAACACACGCATATGCTCTTCTAGTTATTAGCATTTCTCAAGCTATTAGCATCACCATACCAATAACTAGACAAAACACTTTATAGAGCAATAAATAATTTAATGTCTTTCCACCTTGTTTACCAATATCAAAATAAATAAGATATATTTATTCTGATTCTCTAACCACATATTTATGGGTCATTTAGCTTGGATATACAACATTCATATTTTTTTCCAAGCATCCAATAATATGGGAATGTGATATAAGATATTCCAATTCTTCACACAGACACACTTGAAAGAATTATCTTATCTACTTAACCATTCCTTGCGTCTAGGATAGTCAATGACTTTCTAGAGGTAGGGTTCTCTTCCACTTTCCCAGAACCATCAACGATAGTGGTGAGGGTCTTTCCCAACAACACTTTCTCCTTCAAATTCTCTTATTTAGTCTAGTTAACACTAGGTTAAACTTGTTCTTACACTTTTGTGTCTTATGACCTAGTTTCTCACAAATTTAATAAAGAAAGATAGCGTCATTCTTAGAGGATTGGGTGGCGATCTTATGGTTACCACAAAGGGTATCATTCAATTTGGTATGGATCTGGTTCGGCTTGATGCTCTCATTCTTGAAACTTTAATGTTTCAAAGCAGCCTAAGTGGTTCGTGTAGTACTGATAATAGTACTTCTTACAATATTGTTATTATGGGCAATAAACCCATTCTATTCCCATATATTCTTCAATGTACACATTTAAACAGAATCATTCTACTCCACAACATGTATTCAATTTATACTCTAATCATTGAGATAATACACCTCAATGTCGACATATACATGCATCAATTCTATATTATTTTCTAGCATTCACCAAGTTCCTCAATTGTATGCTCAAAATTATATTGAATAGATTCTAATTTTGTCATTCATTAATGACTGACAAGTAAGATTAAAATCTTACCTCTTTTCTGAAGATGTTGTCTTCTGAATTCGCAGTATAGCTAGCACTAAGCATGGCTTCCTTGTTTATCATCTTCCTTCTCTCCACATCGCCTTCAACGCTTGCACAACGCTTTGTTGGAATCAGACGTGGCAATCACAAACTATAGATTAGCAGCAAGTGCTTCAACACTTTGATGGTAGAGGACGTCATTGACCACAGTCCATTTGGAGACCAATTTCTCCTCGTCCTTTTTCTACTTCGTGTAATAACCGATAATCCTCAAACAACTCAACACAATTCAAAAAATCATCATCAGTTCATTCAAAATTTGATAACCCATTAATAATCAAATATACATCACAACCCAAATAAGGAAGAAAACCCCATTTTTCAAATTTTATATATATGATCCCTGCGAATCAATCTTTTCCGCAAAGGGCCAACACTCAAGGCGGCGGCCTGTAAAGTAGTAGGCTCCTAGGACTTCCCCAAGCTTTGTGCGATTTCCCATTCCTAGTTCGATTATTTGCCCCAGAAATAATCAGTTGCATTCCAATATCTCTGCGAGACAGCTTCCATCTTGATTTCCATGGAATATATATATATGGCAAAGGCTAGCGTACGTCAGTCGTACGCTATATGCCTACATTCACACCTATTAACTAATTAAATATTTTAAATAAATTATATATATATTACACGCACATTCATTAATTACTTATTGTGTACAGTTTGGTCCCACAATAATTTTTACCATTCATTTTGTTTAATCAATCCTTTAAATATCCATTTTTATAAAATATAATATCTTATTTCGCCAACTATTGTATTAATATATTCATCGGATTTGATTACATTCTTCTTCATCATAATCACCCAAACTGAAAACTTACATGATCCCTTCCTTCCTTTCTTCTTTAATAACAACGTATTGTTCAAAAGTACAACGAAGAAAGCAATTCTTTTCCTCATCTACAAATCATAACCTACAAATCTTTTTACG